CTGACATGGCACAATTCCTCCATCTTCTTTTCTACTCCTCCTCTCTCTCCTCAATCAATGTCGCGACTGTTTGCGAGTCTGTGGTCTTCCCTTTCACATTCATCACACCCAGAAGAATCACAGCACAGCACAGAATAACACAGGATCAATCAGCAATGGATTCAATCACCATCTTTACTAAAATGTCTTGTTCTTCCACTACCAGTGTTCATATCACCACCTTGAACGCCATCGTGCCTCATTTTCGATTCCGACTAACGTCGCCTCCCCTTCCGTCGCCGAGAACCTCATTTCCTTTCTCTTCTCTAGCCTCATTGCTCTCGCTCTCAAGTAAACCATTATGATTTGAAGGATTCGAAGACTTTCCAATGATATGAATAAGATAAAATATTAATTAATATTATTATACACTCTCCTCCGTTCAAAAATGTAAGATATTTTTTGAAAGTTGAATATTTAAAAATATAAAATATTTTATTTTTTGGTATATAATCATTGTCTTTTTTTCAAAAGTGCATCTATTGATAATGAGATAAATATAAAAAAGTAATATAAAAAAATTAAAAAGTAGATAATAATTTTATTGGAGAGTGAGATTCAATTAAAAATGCTTTATATTTTTAAATAAAAGAGTATATAATATAAAATCAATAAAATATCATTCATCGAATCGAACCACCTCTAGCTCCACTAAATTTTATATTTAAATTATTAATTAATAAATCATTATATATAGTAATATTAATAATTAATTATGTATTAATTATTAATATCATCCATCACCGAGAAAATTGTTTTTATTTTTTAGAAATTAATAATTTATTATATTTGAAATTAAAAATCATCGTAGATATATGTACATGTGCTATAGTTTTAGGGAATCGGGCATCATGGCGTTTGAACTTTGAAATTAAAGATTGGGCGATATAAACTGAATTGATTACCATTCTGAAATGGCGTGTGGGAACAGGTAGCAGAGCAGGCAACAAGCCCGGGGGGCTAGAAATGCTATGCAAATCCTTCAGAATATGCAAGTGAGATCAATGTCTTTTTATTGATGTAGCCATGATTTGGTCTTTAGAGAAAAGGAGAGTGAAGGGTTGAGAGAAAAGGAGGAGCAGAAGAAGGATGAAGGAATAATGTCACGTCAGTCAAACAAATATGTTTAATAGTCAGCATTAATAACGGGACAAACGTATATCTTTTTAAAAATCAACATTAATGATGGGCAAACTTGCACCCTTTTAAAAGTTTTAGAGCGATATTATTAAAAAAAATTTAAAATATTAATCATCCTTCACGAAAAAATTTTAGGATATTTTTATCTTTTAATCCAATATAAAAAGCTGTTGCTTAGAGCCATTTATTTCACTTGTTTATTTTTAATAGCAGGAAAGTGCATGTGAATTATGAACTATTGTACCTTAGCAAGCATGGTTTCTCAATCTTGTACAAGTTATCATAACAAGGTTCATATGGTTAATGGCAAGTCGAAAAACTTGCGGTTCTTTAACAACACTCGCCATGCTGTCAATGCACTATATTAAATTTGCCTTCCTTTTTTTTTTTTATTGCTCACATATGAATTTTTCTATTGAAGATAATTTCATTCAAGATAATTGAGTATTAAATATAAGTAGTGACAGACGCACATATGATTGTGGGTGGGCAAGTGTCCCTCTCAACTTAGAAAAATTTACAAGAAGGATTTGAGAGTTTTAAAAATTTGTCCTAATTGTCCCAATAATTTTGAACCCACTAGACCCAAATTAAAATATATTTGGATCTTTTATATTTCATTCAAGCCCAATAGATTTTAATTTAAATCCATTATATTAAAATTTAGATTATTTTTATAAAAATATCATTTTCATGTTGCTTTCTAATATTTTACAAAACCAAAGTCAAACTAAAAAATAAATATCTCCAATAAAAATAAAATCTGAAATTTTAAAGCATACAAATAAAATCAAAAGACAAGAAGATGGGGAGACTTCTTATTAAAAAAAAAAAAAAAAGACTCGTTTGAAACAAGAGACAAACTATGAGATTGAGCTTGGGAAAATAGATTGAAGAAGAGAGAGAAACAGGATAATTTTAATGTTGTTTAAAGTGATCCCCAAGACTCAAATTTCTCCTTTTTCATTGCCACATATTCACCTACAAAGACCTGTCTTCTCTCAATTTTCTTTACCTTTATTTTCTCTTCACTTTTCATCTTAATTATTGAATTTATTTTTAAATAATTGAAATTCAATATTTTTTAAAATTATTATTAAAATATAAAATTTTATCAAAAATAAATTAATTAATTAATTTTAATTATCATTCATTTCAATTATTTAAAAATAAATTTAATAATCGAGAAGAGAAGTAAAGAAAAAAGTGAGAGGGGAGAAGTGGAGAGAAGCCAAGCCCCCTGCAGCGGCCAAACGCAGAGGATGAACGCTGTGAGGGTGGTTTTTGCTTTTCCGTTATATTGATTTTGTCTTTTAGCATTTTACTTCCATTGCCATTTTGTCTTTTAGCTTTAGCATATTGCATTCTACTTTTCCAAATTCCCTAAATAGCCCTTGCAATTTTAGCAATGTTTATATTTTCCATTATATTTCCATTGTGATTGTTTTTATTCTAAATTTCCTAAAACCTTTTCCATTGCCATTTTTTGATTTAAACAAAATTATTCATCAGCAATGATTGTCTTGTTGGCAAAAAAATAATAATGTTTGTGCCATTTAGATATTTTTAACTATATAGTTTAAATTTTTCTAAGTTTTGAGTAGAAAATGGAAAGGTTTTTGAAGAGGAAATTTCCATCAAGTGGGCAACCAACATCTTCAAGACTTTGTGATTCAAATCTTCAACAACAAAAAGCTAAAATTAATTTGGAAGATTTTCCATAAGATCCCAGAAAGAGAATTAAAATACCATCCCAAAAAACTTGTAACTTATATAAATATTTATTTATAATTATTTTTACATTTTATATAATTTATGCATCTACTAGCCCAAGGTCTTACATTCATCACTAAATGTGAGCACCTCTTATAACATATATTTGACACTTTTAACAAAATCATGCTGATTAAGGTAGGTAGTTAAAATTAGTTAACAGTCTTGATTTTTTTAAAAAAAATTCTATAAAACTCTCAAATTATCCTTAATTAAAATTATTAACTTTACTTTTAAATCTCAAAGTCAAACATGCCACTCAAACAATCCAATTGGCTATGTGGGCATTTTTAGAAATAACTCATTAATGCTTCATCAAATTTAATAATGTGTCTTATATTAAGGATTAAGCAAAACTCTTAAAAAAAATTCTTATATTAAAGACTAGCAGAAGCATCCTAGTATAACCATGATGTAATATATCTCGATTTTGTTAAAACAAATTCAAGGATAGTTAACCATAGGCAAGAGATAATATTAGTTAAGACCTAATAACAAAAATTCCATACACCCTAAAAGACGGTTGTTAACAATTGTAACGTCCCAATTGTCACAATATATATATGGTGAGCAAAATAGTATGTATAATTATTAGTTTCTCTAAAAGTTGAATATGACAATTCAATTTTACATGGTGAGATCTCTGATCTTTCTAAAAATGCCAATCAAGGAATGGTCATTGGGAAACTATATCCCAATTTATCATTAATTATAGGAAGCATTTCACTATAAAATTTTCTCCCAAACCACAAACAACCCTTAGTCAAAGGTCTCCTAGAAGAATTTCATTCACACCTAGCCCATTCCTTCATAATCAAATTGGGCTTCTTCTTCTTCTTCTTGGTTTTTTTTAATAAACCCATTAACTTTGACACAAAGCTAGAGAAACGTTTCCTTAATATTGAATTGGGCCTGTTTACTAAAAATATATTTGAATTGGGCCTAAAATGCTAACTAATTTGATATCAAACACTTTTCTAATTCGCCCAAAAATTCACCTTTTTTACTCCTTACTCTATCATGAAACTTGTCATGTATTTTTTAAAAAAACAAAAAACTAATCAAATATTTCAAAAGTTTGGCAGGACATGTCCATGTTTACAAAGATGGGAGTGGTTTTCCCAATTTTTTTTCTATGATTTTTTTTTATAATAGTCTTGCTCCAAAGATTCAAGCTTCCGTGGGTAATTTATTTTTAAATAATAAATTCTTTAAAGCTGGATCATGATATTTAAAATTGATTTTTTAAATAAATATAATATATATAAATAGAACTTTAAAAAAAAAAATTTTTGCGCTCAATTTTTTGGGTAACATTTATATTGATGAATTTAAATTTAACATTTTGTATTTTAAATTCATGTCTTTAATTTTTTTTATTTGTGTAATGTAAAAAAATTAAAATTCAAAAACAATAGATAAGAAATGAAACTGGGAAGATAAGGAATGAGAATGTTAGTCTTTTAATATTTGAAATAACTAAAAAGTGTGAAGAGATTTGAAATTACAAAAAAAAAATTATAATAAAATTTGAATTTGAATTTGAATTTGTATCCATAAATTCTTATAAATTCAAGATTTAATCCAAATTTAAATACATCAAAATGCAGCATTAGTGTTGTAGGAATGTATTGAAGACAAAGAAGTTGTTGAAGCAAATACCGAATATTATCCTGTTATTAAATAAATGAAATTAATACTCCACAAGCTCTTCGAATATATTTGGTTCCAAAGGCCAAGATTTGGCCTCTAGCCTATCATCCTCATATACCTCATCCTCAAAGCTATCAGCAAAGTGTCCTCGACATCTTCATCCTCGGATATACTCTTGAGGGATTCACAGTGCTCATCTATAGCCATAATGCATCATCATAAAGAATCTTGGGTTTTTGCTTGATGCTTTATGTTGCATTGTAAGGTTCTCAGTATCAAAAACACACAATATTTTATATTTTTTAACATCTTACCTCAGAAAAAATGTTTTATATTTTATATTTTTTTAAAGAAGAAGAAGAAGAAGAAGTGATGCTGTTTTCAATAAGTCCAGATGAAAAAAATTTTCTTTTTTCCATTCATATTAATGTAACAAGCATCAGATAACATAAATATTGTAAGGCTAACAACAGCACTAATAAATAACCGTATGTTCCTACTTATAGTAGTTACAGCCTTCTGCCTAACTCTCTTAATCCACTCCTAACATCGATTGATTCCTGTTACAGCTTCATCAATAACATGCAATAGGCATCAAAGAAACCTTGCTGATGTTTTGTGTCTCCAGCAAGTCGATATAGGGCATCACGGAAGCAGATCCGGGTCTTATCAGAGAACTGGTCATGTTAAAAAGAAAAGAAATTCAAAGAAGATCAGACAAAGGGTCTTGAAATCAATCAGCTGCTATGCATTTCAGTTCTCAGTCACTTCACCTGTGCAATTGCCATCTCAAGATCCTGTAATATAGATTCCTCAAGAGATGACTGCTGGTTCGTGCCCTCATCTGTACTGCACTGCTCAAAAGGGCCCAAGAATTTGACCGATGGCACCTTAAAGAGAAATCAAATGATTACGTTACATTGTGAACTTTGAAAGAACCACCCAAATGGTGCACATTACATTTAAAATTAGAAAAGAAGCAAGTTCCATTAGATTTCAATGTTTCAACTTCTTAAATAATGGTATCTTATTCGCTTTATTCATATCTTCAACACACCCTGTATGCTTAAAATGCGGACAAAGTAGGAAATCACCATACCACGTGCGCTACACTATAATTCTTATTACAAGAATGGAGAGCTAGAAGAATTGGACTCTGCCACATACCCATAAAGGCGTGCAGATCCAGGATTTCAACTCAGGTTTCGACTATTATGTGGAGGATTGGTTTTACGAATATCTAACAAACAATACAAAAACAACAGCAGCAAACCTTATCCTACTAAGTGGGTCAGTTATATAAATTGTACGATGTCATTATACTTTATCATTTACTAAGCTTTTAAGAATGTTGTTAATTAAGAGATCTTCGTGAACAACTTTCATAAATGTTCTCTTTGAATATCTATAAAACAATATTGTGTCATAATCAACTTTGTTTTTCCTATAAATATATGTATATAGGCAAACCACTAGCTTCACTCTATCGTTTGAATGGCTCAAGATAGCCTTTTACTCAATCAGGAGTACATAAAATCAATAAGACATTTAAGGAATTTCACTAGGTTCTCAATCTGCTCACGTTTCATAGCAATTCCAAGAACAGTAGAGTTCGAGAGGATGGCAGATGTCGACACTTCCACTTATACTCAAAACAAAAAATGCTAATCTCAAATATGTAGAACTCTGAACAAAATGGAAAAAAAGACAGAGAAGGAAAGGTGAACCGGTCCATCATTACAGTAAAATAACAAAAAAATTGACTCGGAAAATAAGCAAGATCCAATGGAATTGAGTTTGTGAATAGAAGAAATTCTAAGACAAAAACACCTAAGAAAAAATATAGACTGAAAAGATTTCTCACAAAAGGAACAAGTTAATTAATTCTCATTCTTTGTTGTGAAAATTAATCAACAGAAACTGATGAAGAACATTGTTGATGCAAACATGAATTGCGAACACTCTATCACACATCAGAGAGGAAGAAGCTTTAACCTTTGAAGCATACAGGTCTGGTTGAGCACTAGAGGATAATATAATCTAAATAATAATAAATAAATAAAAACATGTTTCAGCTAGTGGCCTGCAAATAACCTACTGCATCGCAAATATCATGCAGGCCACTTAAATATGTTATGTTCTCAAATTGAATTACAAATGTCTTCGTAACTGCAATGGCTTAAATATGGATTATGGAACGAATAAGGAGCATTCCTATTTTAAGATTTTGAATTTTAATATCAAAGTTTGAAGGAAGTGCTGATGTATACAAACCATCGGCATCATTAAACAAGTAAATGAGTAAATGCAGCCAAGTTATACACAAAACACCTGTCAAGTACTAGATAAAAAGCAATTCTTACCTTTAAATCTTGACAATCTTCATGTGTTGAGTTGCATGGAACAAACTCTGAAACTTCTAAGTGCTCCTGCAATCCACCTGATGCATTACTGAATTGGAGATTTGAAGAGAGGCAGGAGGATTTTAGATTTTCAACATTAGGCAGAGCTTCAAGCATGGAATCCCTGCATAATGTGAAATATGTGAAGGCTTTAGCATCAAGACTCATTTGAAGTAGATTTCCGAATGTTCTTATGGAAAGCCAGTGGACAATGAATGGCTGTGTCAGAAAAAGTAGGTAATGCAAGATGAAAAATACGACCATTTTGTGAAAGAATTATTGGAGAAAGTAGGAGCCCTTACCATGCTATTACAGGTACATGCTTACACAGTTCAAAAAGAATTATAAGTATGATTGTCTTGGTCAGTACTGGCTCCAAAAGATAAATATGCAGTGTAAAATTACCACAGAGCAATTCAATTGCACCGGAATTCCTATTATTCAGAGCACACTCGTGCCAATTTAAAGCATTTCAGAAGCTATATCATTATCCTACAGGCATAAACCCAAGTATCTTAATCCCAGAGGTTATAGCTGTACAAGAAATTGTCATCCATGTGTTCGAATCTTGAAACGTCCTGAAGCTGATCACATGAAAGAGCTGTCCGTTGAAATGATTGCTCGGGCAATCCTCCACATACACTTGAACTGCTAGACTGATCTTTTTCAAGAAGAGAAGATTCAAGCTCAATTTCATTATTGAAACTTTCATCATTGAAATCGAGCTCCACCTCTCTTGAACTTGAGTCCATGGTTGAAAACTTTTTGGGTGAATTGAAACCTTCAGGTGCACTTATCCCCCAATTTTGCCAAGTGTCTGGTGAAGGGAGTCTATCCCATATGTCTTCACCTTTGGGAACAAGGTCATTAATTCCACTCCCACTGTACCAAGCCATGGTACAAATAACCTGCACAGAAACATGAAGGCGAGGATAAGATGGGATAAAAAATGGCATATAAGATGGAAAGTATGCAGGCTTTGCAGACTCAAAAACATAAAGGCTATTTGATTTAAACTAAAGGGATTCTAGAATCCCTTGTTACTTCATTATAACATGTATATTAAAGCATGCATAATTGCTCCACCAGGTGTTGGACACCTTCTATCTCTTTTCCACTCCAGCATCCTAGAAGAACAAGCACCAAGAAACTCCATACACAACTCTTTTTTTGCAGAAAATTCACTAGACGTGATTTGTTAGGAAACCCAGTCATGCAAACTTGTTGAAGTCAAACTCGCTGGCGCAAGTTCTCAAGTTAAATATCATAAATCAGGCTCAGTCGTGTTCATCTCACTTTATACGAGCTTAGAATTTCACTACTAATACTCAAAAAAGGAGTATTGATAGGCCAGGAGGCCTCAGAACATCAAAGAAACAAGATGATAGTGGTTAAACACGGCTTCTTGAACAGTAAAGAATTTCCCGCTAATTTTCTTACACGTCAAAATCATACATCATAACATCAAGAAATAGAAAGAAGGATAGGAACAAACCTTAATCAAACTTTATCGGCAGAAACAGGGAAACCCCAGATTGTAATTGACAAAAGCAAATCAACCCAGAAATAGAAAATAGACAAAGACGACGTTTACGAAGTACTTTTCGGTGTTGCAGCAGCCAGAAGAAACAGAGGCGGCGCTGGTTTTGGCTTGCAATTTGCAAATATTTTAAATCCAACTCGGAAATCTATATAAAGAGGTGGGCCGCAAGTTGCTTGCAATCCTATCCAAGAATAATGAGTAAAGCAGAAACTGGAAAGAGACAAGTGAAGAAAATAAAAATGAAAAAGGCTGAGACTTGTGGCTGAGAAAGATGGTGAGACTTGTGGCCTAAAAACCTCCATCTAAAACTGATCGCTCATTGGCGCACGTGGCAAGACATACCATTTTCTGGTTTTCTTTGAAGCTCTTGGATGATACGGGCCCCAGAATCTGGTGCCAAACCCTGTGAGGACTGTGTGAAGATTGAATTTCTGGGACTGGTACTGGCTACTGAGGCCCCCGGTGCTGACGCGTCGTTGAGTAAGAATCGAAGATCAAGTTAAATTTTAACCAAATAGACTTAAATCTCTATAATAAATCAGAGACTTAAATCAGGTTTAAAATATATAACTCAAATTTAAACTTACTTAAAATATAATTTATTTTAAAAATTTATTTAAAAATTTACTTAAAAATAAATATTTTAAACAGGTTTATATTTTAATTTTAAACGTCTTAAATATATGTTAAAATTATTATAATATAAAATATATAATTTAATTTATCAATTATAATATATGATAATTAAAAGTATTTATCATCTACAATAAAATATAACATTAAAATAAAAACAATAAAATTAATATATAAGCATAAAATAATTAAAAATATAATTAAAAATAAAAAATAAATTAATTAAAAATTAAATAATAAAATTAACGTGTTTGTAAGATATATTACATAATATGTGTGTGTAATTAAACTCAGAAATAAAATTTTAAAAAATAAATTTGATAATATGAGTTTGTTTAATAAATATATTAAGTTGAATTTAAAATAAATTAGACTATAAGTCCAGGGCCTATTCCTATCATTGAGTGATGACAGATGTGATTTAAGTTACATAGATTTGAAGTAAGTTAGGCCAACCTGTTAGATGCTGGGTCTATTTCCATCGTTGAGTGATGACAGATGGGATCTAAGTGACACGCGGCTGAAGATCTCAGGAATGCAGTGACACGTGGACGGGGAGAAGTTTGCTTTAAAGTGAAACACCAGAGAAGGAGCGCCACATGAGATAATATTCTTTTTCTCTTGTTTTTGTGGGGTTAAAGATGAGAGAATATTTTTGTCTATCAAAAAAGAACATTGCTTTTTTAGTAGAAAGTTATCCATTCGTAGTATAAAAAAAAGGAAAAAGAAAATTATCCATTTGTAGTATCAAAAAAGAGGAAAAAGAAAATTATCCATTCATCTTTTATTTTTTTAAATTATCCATTCATCTAAAGACACAAAAATCATCTAAAGTCTAGCGAATTTGTGAGTTTTGCTAACGAGTTCAAGCAACCGTGCGAAGTAGAAGCAGAAGCAGCATTTCGGATCGAAGGCGATCTTGGCATTTCATTTTACTTTAAATGATCTCTGCCGTTAATTTTGAATTATTTTTTAAATATTTTTGCATTAGGTTTATTAAAATAAAAATATATAAAAATTTAATATTAAATATGAATTATTTTTCATGCTCATTAGATGATAAACACTATGCTACTTATCAATCTTGATAAGATATGGGCAGTTTAGGTTTAAGCATTATTTTATATTTATTAAAATAAAAATATAGAAATATTTAATAAATTTGTTTATCACTATTTGGTTAGTACAAATTTAAATGTATGGCTTGATTTAATATTATTTTTTATCATTTTTAAAAATTAACTATCCAAATATATTCTGAATTAAATCTAGGTAGTACAGACATAATGTGAATGGTTCTTTTAATATTAAATTTTTTTATAATTCTTATAAGTTGACCATCTAAATATTTTGACAGTCAAGTTTTAATATTAAAACTTTTTAAAATTTTTATATAGTTTATCTTTATAAATATATTAAAATAATTTAAAACCAATGATAAAAAATATTTAAGATAAAATAAAGGGCCAAGACCATATATAAGGTGGTGATGTGCTCGTCAATCGAAATGCGAATCCGTAGCATTTCAATAGATTTTGCAATATAGGAGATTTCCCAAAAATAAAAAAAATAGTCAACTCATGAGACTATTTAAATTAACATGAGAATAAAATCTCAAAAAAATTTATAATAATTAGGTCTACAAATTTTTTTCAAGTCTTAAATATTGATTTAAATAATTACAAATAAAAATTTTAATTACAAATTGAAAGTTATATTTAAAATTTAAATATTTTGTTTACAATTAAACCTCTTGAACTTGCAACTTTTAAATCAATATTTACAACTGATTTTACAAAAAATTTTATCAAAACCTAACTAGTATAAATTCTTTGTTTTTAGAATTTAATATCATTCTTCTAGCTAATATTGTAGTCTATGTAATTTTGACCTAATTATAAATTGTTTTAATTTTTAAAATTTAACTCAATACAATTTAATCCATCAAATTTAACTCGATTATAATTCAATATCTACAAATCATTTAATCTTTTATAACTTATCCCAATGGCAAACCTTGGTATACTTGAGGGTGGACAATTTTAAGAATTGATAGGTCACTTAAGCCTAAGTGAAGTTGGGATACAGAGTTTGTTAGAGAAGAGGAAACATAATTAGATCTAAGATTAGATTTAAGATATTAGGAGGGGAGAAGTGAAGTTGATGATGGGATCATGAAAATTTGGAATAATAGATGGTGAGAGAGGATTAAGATTTTAAGATAATTTTAGTATTATAAATGATAATTTTTTATTGAACTTTTTATTTAAAACCATTTAATTCTTATGTTTTCAGAGGAATCATTTATTTTATTTTTTATATCTTTACTAAAATCATTTATAAAGTTTGAAATAATTTTAGGTACTTAAATTTTTTTTAGGAAATCATGTTAATATTGTAAATGTCTTATTATTATTTAAACAAATAGTTAAATTTTGAATTTAAACTCTCACACATATATAAAACTCAGGGCCCATTTGTTTTGGTTTATTTTATGAAAAAATTATTTTTTAAAAAATATATTTTGTAATTTTTTAATTATTCTTGTTTAAACTTTTAAAAATAATCAAAATTTAAAAAAAAATATTTTTGATTATTTTAAAAATTATTTTTAAGTAACTTTTGAAAATAATCTATTACGATGAGAGAGAGTGTTAGTATTGTAGATGTCTTATTATTATTTAAACAAATGGTTGAAATTCAAATTTTAACTCTTACACATATATGTAAACTAGCGCCTTTTTGTTTTGACTTATTTCATAAAAAAATTACTTTTTTTTGAAAAAAAATCTATTTTGCAATTTTTTATTATGTTTGTTTAAACTTTTAAAAATAATCAAAATCTGAAAAAAGCATATTTTTTACTATTTTAAGAAACTATTTAAAATAATGTCTGATGTGATGAGAGAGATTTTTTTAAATAGGTGATACATGTGAATATATCATAAAATTTTAAAATAATAATAAATTATTTTTATAAAATAAAAATTAAGAAAGATATCATAAAATTTAAAAATAACTAACTAATAATTATTTTTATTATTGTAATCAAACATAAAATAATATCTATCTTTAATAAAAAATTTAAAATAAATATTTTTTATATAGCCTCTAAACTACTTAAAAATTATTTATTTTTTAATTTTAAATAAATGAGCTTTTAATTCATATGATTCATTCCATTATTTTAAATATTTGCCTTCCATTTTACTCCATTCACACCTGGCCCGTTCCTTCATAATCAAATTGGGCCTTTTTTATGCCATGCTCATTAACTTTGACACTAAGTCAGAGCAGTGTTTCTTTAATATTGAATTGGGCCTATTTACCAAAATAATGCTGAATTGGGCATAGATGCTAACTAGGTTGATATCAAATTTTAATTAGCCCAAATATTCATTGTTTTCCCTTGCTCTATCATGAAACTGGTCATGTATCCAAAAAAACCTAATCAAATATCTCAAAAGTTTGGCAGAACATGTCCGTTCCTCTGTTTACAAAAATGGGAGTGGTTTTCCCAATTTTTTTTTATATTTTATAAATGGTCTTGCACCAAAGATTCAAGCTCCCGTGGGTAATTTATTTTTAAATAACAGATTCTTCAAATTTGGATCAAGTTATTTAAAATTGATTTTTTAAGTAAATACAATATATACATATACTATAAATTTAAGAAAAACAATTTTGCGCACAATTTTTTTAGGTAACTTTTAGATTTGAATTTTAGATTTAACATTTTGTATTTTAAATTTACGTATTTAATTTTTTTTACTTGTGTAATGTTAAAAAAAATTCAAATTCAAGAACAACAGATAAGAAATGAAACTGGAAAGATAATGAGTGAGAATTTTATTGGCGTTTTGACTTTTGAAATAGTTAAAGTATGAAGAGAATTTGAAATTATAAAAAAATTATAATAAAATGTGAATTCGGATTTGAATCCATAAATTTTTATAGATTCAAATAATAAATTTGATCCAAATTTAAATACATCAAAATGTAGCATTAGTGTTTTATAAATGTGTTGAAGACAAAAAAAGTTGTTGAAGCATATACAGAATATTATCCTATTTTACCAAATAAATGAAATTAACACCCCACAAGCTCTTTGAATATGTTTGGTTCTAAGGGCCAATATTTGACCTCTAGCTTATTGTCTTCACACAACTCATCCTCAAAGGTATCAAAAGAGTGCCTTTAACATCTTCATATATGCTCTTGAGGGATTTCGCAATACTTATCTATAGCCATGATACATTGCCATGAAGAATCTTAGGCTTTTGCTTAATGCTCTATGTTGCATTGCAAGGTTCTCGATATCTGTATAGGGTTCTAATGTGCAGCCGGGAAGTTGGCCTATACCTTAGAGCTTTGTTCACCATACCCGCTCGTGGTGGAGTTAATGTACTACACCTGCTGTATCACATTCCATATCTTGAGATTTGGTAAAATTATTATTATTATTTTTATTTTGTTTACGATAAACCTAGAAGGGTGTGGTTCTAAGCTATCTCCAC